TTTTTAAGGGGGTGCCAGGTGGTGGGTGGTGGGTGGCGGGTGGCTTTGTGGGTTGTCTGGCTGCTCAGCTGGCATCGCCATCGAAATCAACACGTGTGCGGCAAGCCTCGAATCTCGAATTGTGCGCCAATTCGCTGCCATTTACATTGTGTCTTGTGCATGTGGCCAAAACCCGTTTGCCGGGGCCCAAACACCAAGTGTCCACAAAGCCCCCCTTGCACTCCCCCTCACCCCCTTTCGTAGCCCGCCACCTCTGGCAGCACGTTTTCATTCATCGACAACAAACTGTTGCATGCAGCCGCCAGTTGTAAATTTATTTACTTATTTGTTTACAGCTCGAGATGTCCGCGTCAGTGTTGGCTTTATCATAAAGAAAACATTGCTAGATTATAGCAAAATATAAAAATAATATAAAATTTATCATTGAGAATTTATGGCAGAGTATTATGTATGTATGATTCTTTCAAAACCAATTTATTTTAAGTAATGCCAAATTTTTCATTTAAAAACATAATTTACCACATAATACTTATTTCATTTAACATAAAAAAAGGAAGTAAATAAAATAGTTAAAATAAATGAAAATAATGTAATCCGGAAAAGTATTTTCCTTAATTTAAGTTAGTTAGTGTAGATCAACACCATTTTCTATTTGAATTCCTCGAATTTGGGCATTCGAGCTGCCCAATTTAAACAAATTTTTGAGTGGATTTTAAGGTCTTTAGCATTTTATCAAATTCCTTGAGAAATTAAATATAAATTAAATATAAAATCTAGAGCTAAGTAAAATAAAAAAATCTTGCGGAAATGCGTCAAGCTGCTGGGTTTTACCGTAGCTTAGTCGTTACAATAATAAATTCAAGATTATATTAGGGAAAAATACGAACATTTTGGAAAACCAGAAAAAAAAAACCAAGCCCGGGTAATAACCCATTTGATAATTTTAGAGGCTGTTAAAAAATAAATAAATACTATTATGTTCAAATCAACTCTTTAACTTATTTTCTTATAAATATGAACTAATTATGCAGGATTAAAAACTAAGTTCGAATTAGACTTAATATTTATACTTTCAGAACAGGGCCTTGAACAACAGCTTTTTTGTGGCTAAATCGACAGCTCTGATCTCCGTGGCGCTCGTGCCGAACTTGTGGAACACTTGGGCTTCTGGTGGCCACGGGTCGCCATACTGCCAGCCAGGGTGACTCATCCGTATCGTCTTGTCTGCGGTCTGGAGACCAGCTATCCAGCTAAATTATCAACTCGGGCACGCACCGAAAACCCCCCTTGGGACCAGCCGACTATATAGTCAGAGCCGGGGCTATATTCAGCGCCTTATCGCGGTTTCCAGCCTGCGGTTTTCCTTTCTATGGAAGCCCCCCTTTTGCCCCCCCGGTAACTTCAACTCTTTGTTTGCCTTGGGGGCTTGTCCATTTACACGGACCAATATTTGTTCATCGCAATTATTATTTGCCTGTTTGCTAGTATTTGTACAAAACGGAAACTTGCTCAAAATGCGTAAATATGTACGCTCAAGCGTGGCCTTATTCGGGGTTAATGCCGGGAAAACCCCATGAATCATTTTGGGATTTTCACTTTTTAGATAAGCAACCAAGGGGAGAGGTTTAGAAATGTTAATTAGGGCTCAGCTTAAAAGTTTGGAAATATAGAAAAGTAAATATTGAATATAAGGTTTTAGAATTAAACAAAGAACAATCTATACTTTCTGTAAATGCTGCGTAAACACAATTATCTTTGTGTTAGAATCGCTTATTCTTGTGTACAGATTGTAAAACATTTCCGAAACGAGATCAAATAAATATTAGCCAAACCTTTTAGAACCTTATAAACACCTCGTGGTAGATAAGAAACAGGAAGGGCCAGTAAGTTACTCAGTAAGATTTAGCTAATCTAAGGGAGGAAGCTGATACTATTAAACCCTTGTTGAGCAAAAAAAAGTATATTTACTAAATTTACAGTCAAAGTAAAATACAATTGATTATTATACTTAAATTACCCTCTAAGGCATATAAGAAAAAACATTTCTCTGAACTAAATAGTAAAAATGGGATGCTTCTTTCTCGTGTAGATAAACATCTCGTGATGCTCGTTACACTTCTACTTGTTACACTTCTTAGCTAGTGAATATATTTATGTATGACGGCTAAGATCAGAATGATTTATTGGCTGGCGAATATTAATCTACCCACAAATGCCATCACCCGCAGTGGGGGGCAGCTGGGAGAAGTTGTTCCAGAATGCAGGGGCAGTGTAAAATGCTAAGGAGACCGCTCCTAGAAATGGCAACAATTGTGGAAACATTAACCAATGCAAACTGCAGCTAATTTGAAATTTTAAACAATTTTTGCAACGACTGCAGCAGCCGCAACAACAAAAGATGCCGAAAACAAAGCCAAAGGCGAGTCGATTTGAACGGAGCGTTGCGCTTTGATTGGATTGAATGCGAGAAGTCAAAGTCGCGAAATTAGAAATAGGCACGATTTTTAAAATACAGCTAGAAATGGGAATATCCTAGTATTTTTTAAGACAATTTAGTAAAGAAAAACTATGATATATTAGCTGATAATGCAAGATATATCTTATGAATTGCTTTGAAAATGGTATATTGATATAAGCAGCAATCCATTGATCTATGACACGGATTTTGATCAGAGAATTTGACCTTGCTGATTGTTTATTTTTCCTGCTTATCCAACTAGTAACACACCCCTTGGCTTTACGATTCCAGGGTATCAAAGACAAACTGAAACGAAAACAAAAACAAAACAATAGTAATAGTAAGAGCGTTTAATGCATTTTGCGCCCGCTCGAAGCGAGGAAATTATGTGAATTTCGTATAGAGTTGTTTGGCACCGCAGCACTCAGCACACCTGCGTGCCAAATCGCACAGCTACAGCTTCAATACATCGGTGACAAACGAAAAACAAAATATAGTAAGTCACATGCTTCAAGTTTAATGAGCGCAAAATGAATGCCAAAGATGCTGAAAGCTGCAGGGCACTTTGAATTACCATAATGATCTCAATATTTGCTCAACTTTATCACGACACTATAGCCACAGCTATTTAATTACCCACACCCGTGCAACGGCGGTAATCGCAATTTTAGCATTTCAGCGCAATTAGACACGCGAGAGGCGGCAGGCAGGGCGTATGAGTAATGCGAGTGCAGTGGCTATATCTCTATGGGTCTCCATCTCCATTTCCATCTGACTTCAGCGCCTATTAATAGCGTTCCGCGTCTTTAGTAGCCTCTGGTTTTATTTTGCCGCCACCCCCCACTTGGCGTTACTTATTTTAGGCACTGCAATCCGGAGCAGCGTTTGTGTTTGTGGCACTTGGGCGAGGCAATTACTCACGGCAAGGGCAACTCCGTCAACAGATTTGGCAGCTGCTCCATTCCGGGGGTGGACAGTTGGGCGGGACCATCGGTTGCAAAAAGGGCGGGGCAAAGGGGGTCTCAAATACAAATATTACTTTGATATTCCTTCCAAACTCTGTACAACAACCTGCGGCCTAATAATCTAAAATATAATGGATGTTTTTATAAGAATAAGACACAGTAATATTATATGATAAGTTCCTAAATTGGTCAAGAATGTGCATAAAAATATAATAATTCGTGAATCGTTTTAAATAGTATTTAAAAAACCGTTCAAATAATAATCAATAATCAATACAGCATGTCTTTCAAAAATAAAATTCTGTTTAAAAAAGGCTTCCTTATAATAACTTATATTACTATTAGTTTACAATACCTTTATAACACACATTTCGCTTTACACTGAGCTTCTAATCCAGTCATATAAAAAAAATATAAACCTTCCTTAAAAGTTTTCAAAAAAATTTTTAGGTTATCTTGAAATAAGTTTTACCAACCCCCATTTGCCAACGCCCCTGTTTCGGAAACCCAGTGCAAGTTGCAACAAATTAGCTGCGAAACGGGCGCGTGAGAAAAACAAAGTTGTGCGGTCGCAGGTCTTAAAAATAGCTCGCAAAACGTGACGTGACATTGGGGGATTACCAAGGAGCACTAATCTGGGCAGATTGACTCATTTTAATTAGCGCAGTGGGCGGAGTGCGAAACGACCCAGATGAAATTGCGTTTCTGTGGCTCAAATAAGTATGCTACGAAATCGTGCGGAGCATAATTACGTTTTATGAGCAATGATTAATTAAAACCATACATATCAAATGATTATCAAAACATGGATATTACATTTCCCTAGAAATATGTATGATATAAATTCTTATTTGACTTTCTTCACATATTTAAAACAAAGAAACGAGACATTAAAGTTCCTAAGAAAGTATATGTTGCGTAAAAACATGAAATTGATAAATGTGAAATTAATTATTGCTACGAGTAAAAAAGCACGTCTCCATTTCAAAGTGGTTGAATCCAGTTGGGTTATTTTTAAGCAAATGAATAAAAAGCGAACTTGATATCGATGCAGTATGAAGTATTTTCCCTTTGTCCAAGCTCTATGGGGGTTTTCCCGATATCTGCATCTACCCATCTTAACTATCCTCTCAAAACTGGCAAAAACAGCTGCACAAACTGCAGTGACGGCGAAATAAAAACATAAACAAAGGCTTGGTTTTGGATTGTTGCAATTATCGAATGGCCATCAGAAACATTTGCCAAAACAGATGCCATTAACCAACTATATATATCTATCCGACCAGATGTGGCCACAAAAGCCATTCGGGATATATCCATTTAAACAATGTTAATAGAACTCCTAAAAGATTTTACTTACCCACAGAGGTGAAATATCAAGACTTTGTCGTTATTAATTATTTCAAAATTTATTTTACTGATGATTAGTACTAAATAATTTAGTTTTCTTGTAATTTACCATTACCACTTTCAATTAATTTTGTTTTTTCTTTTATTTTTGCAGTCTTAAAAATTTGTCTAAACAATAAATTTTCCATGTTGCTTCAATTTGTTTATTTTCAATGTCTTTTTTTGGTTTTTTTTTAATAGTTCATTACGCTAATGTTAAATTTGCTGAGAGAATTTGTTGTAAGAAAATGAATGCCAATAAATGTGAAGAAGGAGGCGGGGGGCAGGGGCGGGGCATATCGGGCTGACGTGGATTGGAATCGAGTTGCATTAATTACAAATATACATATGTGGCGTTTGCTCCAGGTGCAAACAAACAGACGCGGCGACAACAATGAGATTTCAAAAAGTCAACATTTTTCATTCCTTATTTTTTCGTATTTCCTTCCTTTTTGGGTTATTTAGTTTCGTTTGTATTTTCAAAAATATATTATGGAAAAATTGTACACTGATATTGAGGTATTGGAAAAAATCGGCATATATGTTAGGTATATGTATAACTGTATCTGTATCTAAATGTATGTACAGGACATTCAAAAAGTGTATCGCTACTAGTAGTTTGACATGCAAAAAATGGCCTTGCGCTTGGTGCTGTTCTTAGGTAAACTTGGGTAAAATTCGAAAACTTCGAAAACTCTTCAACGGAAAATGGCAAGAAAACGAAAAAGGTAAACCTAAACCGAGAGGAAAACGCATTCCTGATCGTTCCTATTTATGGCAAACCAGGACATCTATATAACAAGTGCAATTCTACTACAATTAAATGTATCTCTGAAAAGCTTTAAAATTGTTTCCTTCTATAATTGCTTGCGATTCTTGATTTCTGTTGTTTCTATTTGGTTGGTTCTATATAATTCGTTTCCCCGTTTATTATGAACTATATAAAAATATTTGTTATTATTTATGTATTAAAATTCACAATTTTGGTTACGCTCCATTCGCAAAAATACGTTTAGATTTTTTGTTAAATATTCACTTTTCCCTTCAGCGCTTTCTAGAAAATCGAGCATGGAATCCATTAAGTTTTTTTCAGCTTTGGAAAGGGGCGACTAAAATGAATTTTGAAATCACACACACGCACATCCCCATTCACTCTTTGATAGTAGGATAGGAAAAGGACCTCATATCCACTCACTGATATCGATTATCCCCCGTTGCTCTGACATTCACGCTCAAGGACCCTCCTAGTTAGATATCCTATCTTCGATACGTTTTCTCCGTTCTATACTCGATTAATAAAAGTATAAATTTGAAGTAATTTACTAACTACTGGTTGGTTGGTTTGTCATTTGCTTCATTCGTTTTTGGTTTTATATAAATATAAATTACAGGTTTTTAATTACAGTGCTTTACATTCGGAAATTTCGTTAGAGACGCTGAGAATATATTAGCTAATATCGTGCCAGCATTAGAAATACAATACGGCTATATTTACGGAATCGAAATGTGGAGGCTAGAGACACTGAGATTGCATTTAATGCAATAACCAGTACCCAAAGGTAACACAAAGCACACACAGAGCGGGAAAAATTGGGAGCGGGACAAGAGACATACACGCACGTACAGAAATATACAAAATACACTTTGGGCTTAGATGTACGAGGGAAATAACAGCTGAATAACAATGTCGTAGCTGTTATCCGCTGATTACTTTTAAAGCTTTTTGGCGCCCAGCTTCATAGGACCGCTCGCCCGTTGGGCGCGACGCGCCTCCAGTTCCCGCTGCCGCTGCAGCTTCTTCTCCTCCCGCTTGCGACGAGCCTCGTCCAGTTTGGCGTTTCCTGGATAAACAAGGTATATTAATTAATTACCATTCACTAAACAGTTCATTATAAGAGTATACTGATGATGAAAATCATATCTTGGTACTACAAAAATTTACTGATTATCTTAAAACTTACCAAATCCCGATTCATCCAGGGGCTCAAACTCCCCGTCGGCCCACGAATCGCTATTCCAATTGGCATTATGCGTCGAATTATTCAAATGCGACGAAGGCGGGCTAATGTTATTGCAATTGGCAGTGGCCGACGTGGGCGACGTATTGCTGCTAGATAGATTGGGCAGCTCCTTGGGCCGCAGCATCGATTGCTTCGACGGCGAGGTGACGTGTGAGTTGAGCTTGGCCAGCGGCTCGATCAGATCGTTCAGTTCGTGCTGCTGCAGCTGCTGCTGATGCGGATGCTGTTGCTGCTGATGTGGCAGCAGAGGACGCTGGTGCTGCTGACTGGATGACGTGGTGGATGATATAGATTGTCTGGCCAGCTGCTGTTGCTGCTGCTCCTGCTCCGCTTGCTCCTCCTCCTCGCACTAAGCCGAAAACAATGGAATAAGTAACTGAATTTGGTGTTTTTTTAGACTATGATCTTACCGGATCCTCTTCAAGACTGCCCCACTCCTCGTTGTCCCAGCCATCGCGCACTTCGCTCAAGGCATTGGCCGCCATTAAGGCGCCATTATTGGAGCTGGCTGCCAGCGGACTGCTGGGATCCTGAGAGGTCTACAATTAATCAAGCATAGTTAGCACTCATCTCATGACATTCAACTAGCACTTACATCCATTTCGCCCCAGTTTTCGTTGTCCCAATCGTTGTTGCCATAATCAGAGGCCGAGGCGGAGGTGTCATTGCTTTCATGCTCCAGCGACGTCATTGAGGTAACACTACTTGTGGTGGTCGATAAACTGCTGCTCGATGGTTGCTCTACACACGGCAAAAAGGCAAATGGAGGCCAGGTTAATTGCATTGTGCAAATTGTATAAGCGAGGCGAATATATGTACTTACCAAGCGACGCTGGCTTGGACAGATTGCGTCCAGTTAAAGGCGGTCGTGGTCGCGACGAATCACTTTGGCTGCGATAGAACTTGGCTGTGACGGCCGTCACCGCCCATCCCGCCCAGGTGGCCGCCGCATTGCCAATCGAGGGCGTGGCCGTGTGGACATCCGCCTCTGCAAAATAATAGTTCGAATTATTATATGTCCTATACTTTATGCTTCTCCTTTGTTCTATCACAAAATAGTAAATTTTTAACAGAATAAAGATCACTCACCCATCGTCTCCCGCAAACTGGGATCCTCGGATACCTTCTCCAGCTTGCCCAGAAATCCTCGGATGGTTTTGAACGCCGGATCGCGCACAGTTTTCTCCGGATCGACGCTGAGGGAACACAGTGACGGCAGCACCCGGTTGGCCACCTCGCTGAGCAAAAAGTACTGCTGTGTGGCGGCAAGCGCTAAGACTCCCGCCACTCTTGCGGGAGGGAAAGGATCCCGCATGGCGCGAATAAAGGCAGAGACCAGCACACGCTGGCGCACCTGCGGATGCAAGTGCGGCGCAATCTTGCCCAGACACACAGTCGTATTAGTGCGAATTCCACCCTGGTCGTCCCGCGCCTGCAGCCTGGCAAAGTGACGCAGTACCTCCACATTCAGATTGTTGTAGTTGAGCTTGGGCGCCAAATGGATGATCGACTTGACCGTCTGCTCGCGTATGGTGGCATTGGTGTCCAGGAACCCGTGCGCCACCTGGGGAAAAATCTGATCGTTGACCACCTGTGGCTGCAGATGCGCAATGAACAGGTCCAGCTGCTGCAGCAGGCGCGATCGCGTCACACGATCCGTGGAAGCAAACAACTTGACCACACATGGCACAATGCGTTTCTGGTACTCCACCTCGTCCAGCAGTTTGCCCAGCTGCAAGATTACAATTCTCAATGAATACTCATGTGTCAGATAGGGTGTATCGATTCAATGGACAACCTTAAACATTGGTGCCAGCACCGCGGAGCCCGCATCTCCGTACTCGTAGGCTGTTATCAGCTGTGGAAGTATCTTGTGCCTGCACACATTGTCCGGAAAGTTGTCCAGATGCGTGGTGAGGCCGCTGAAGAAGCGATTCTTCTCCGCCTTGTCCTTGATTTGGATTTCCTCCAGGAAGAGCAGTGTGTCCACCAAATCGTTCTTGAAGAAGCCTCCTGGCTTGCGGCAACGTGTGATAATGTCCGCCGGATTGGGGCGATTCGAAGGCGAGGCTCCCACCAGCTCGCAGTAGAGCGATTGCAGGGATTTGGGTATGTGTTCAATGTCCTTGAGGTTGGAGCGCTGCTTGAGCACGCCGTTGAAGGCCTCCCACACCAGACAGCCCAGGCCCCACATGTCCACGGAACTGGTTTAGTTAATGCACATTAGAATAAAGAGTTTCAGGGATAAAATAATGTATGTACCACTTGGTGGCCGCCTTGAGCTTGCTCTGATCGTTCTTCTCGGGTGAATCGTAGACCTCCAGGGTCACGGGAATCTTGGCGGGCGGCATGGGATTTCCATCGGCCGCTGAGACATACTCCAGACTGCCCAGTTTCCACTCGCCAGAGGCATTGACGAACACCGACCAGGCGGAGACATTGTTGTGCCGCAGATTGCCATCGTTGTTGAGGAAGGACAGGGCCCGCTGGAAAGGATTAGAAATTAGCTAAGGTTGTTGGAAGGGTGGTTTCAAGATAAACCCACAGTGATTTGGAAGATGCCCCAGGCCAGGTAGAGGCCCTTCTGGAGATTATCGCTGCCCAGCTTGGCAAAGTAGCTTCCTAGCGGATCCACCGCCTCTGTGGCCACATAGAGCATCTTGTCCGTCTCCAGCGAGTCCAGATACTGCAGGATGCTGGGATGACGCAATGTCTTGAGCCGCTTCAGCGATGCCTTGGCCAGTTCGCACTTGGTATCCGATCCACTGCGGATGTCGTAGACGAAGACGGAGACCTCCTCCTGGGTGGTCTTCCTCTTGGCCTTGTGCAGTGTCCATATGGAGTACTGATCAAAACCGCCCACGGGTTCGCCAATGTCGTAGGGAAAGTCTTTTGAGGAGTCGCGCGAGAAAAACGACCACATCATGTGTTTTGCTCGGCGGCTCAATATTTTGTTACTGTTGTGTCACACCAGCAACAACAACAATTGCAACGCTGCAACTGCAACGGCAACAACAACACTGCGCAGGCAACCAACACACGCACGCACACACGCACACCTTGTTGCTGCTACAAAGGCACTGGAATTTTGGTTGTTTAAGCCACCGATTTCTTGGTTGGTATCTCAAGCCTCTGTCTTTAGCCTCGTCTTGATCTTCGTCATGCCAGTTCTGCTGCTTAGTGTTCTATATATATATTCCTCCGCTGCGCAGCAACAATTTTCCAGCTTTTTACAGACTCGAAGCGAACATACACACACACGCACACGCACAGCTAACTTATCCGCTGTTTTTCGTCCCCAGAGGTCGCATCCCTGGGATCCCGGGAATCCTGGAACGGGGCGATCTTGTCTGTATGGCTTGGCTGCTGGGGCGGGGGAGTCAATTAGTCGGATCGGGCGCTCGTCTCCGTCGAAATATCCTAATCTTTTTCCCGAGTACGTCAGCTTTTTTTGCGTGAGGCGTTAGTGACGGACCAGCAGGCGGCGTGCGTGAGCAGCTGACCATGGGAAGTCAAGGTGGCGACTCCGGCTGAAGCTCGGGAAACAAAGTGGCATCTCTGGTTCAACCACCTTATCATTATCAATTACTTATGGGGTTTTAATTTTAATATAACAAGTATTAATGTGTAGAAATAAACTAACACGAAATAATTAAGTTACCAAAATGGGGACTTTGTTGCGGTTTCGTGGCTACTTAATTGGATTTTGAAATGCATAATATAAAAGGGCGTAGGGGCAAATGTTTTAAGGGGTTCATTGTTCAAATTTATCATGTGTATCTAATTATTTTATACAAAAATTTATAACCCGTAAATAGTAATGATATTCAATTACTTTTTGTTAAAGTTTATTCTCTTTTAGTTGTCTAAAATGCATAATTTTTAGGCTGTAATCCCCTTTTTACTACCCAGCTACTGTCCTTTTGCCAGTCACCACGAATAACGACCACCCTTAACCTCGACCGGGTGGCAACTCCGCTCGGTGTTATAACACTCGTTGTGGCGCAGCCAACTTAACGCAAGGTGAGGAAAATTGCCATTTTGCCGAGTAGTGAAACTAAAGTAATTTTCGGCAGGGAATCTTCGACAGCTTCGACAGGATGATGATGCAACGCACCCAGCTCTTGCTGCCCCTGGCCATGGAGGCCACCATGCTGGCCCAGCAGCAGCGTGGAATGGCCACCCTGAAGATGATTTCCATTCGCCTGAAGTCGGTGAAGAACATTCAGAAAATTACGCAATCGATGAAGATGGTGTCCGCTGCCAAGTACGCTCGTGCCGAGCGAGACTTGAAGGCGGCGCGTCCTTACGGTATTGGCGCCCAGCAGTTCTTCGAGAAGACGGAAATCCAGGCCGACGAGAAGGCCGAGCCCAAGAAGCTGCTCATCGCGGTGACTTCGGATCGTGGTCTCTGCGGAGCTGTCCACACTGGTGTGGCCCGTCTCATTCGCGGAGAGCTGGCCCAGGATGAGGCCAACACCAAGGTCTTCTGCGTGGGCGACAAGTCGCGTGCGATCCTGTCCCGCCTGTACGGCAAGAACATCCTGATGGTGGCCAACGAGGTGGGTCGTCTGCCGCCCACTTTCCTGGACGCCTCGAAGATTGCCAACGAGGTTATGCAGACCGGTTACGATTACACCGAGGGCAAGATCGTGTACAACCGGTTCAAGTCGGTGGTGTCATACCAGTGCTCCACCCTGCCCATCTTCAGCGGATCCACCGTGGAGAAGTCCGAGAAGCTGGCCGTCTACGACTCGCTCGACAGCGATGTCGTCAAGAGCTACCTGGAGTTCTCTCTGGCCTCGCTCATCTTCTACACCATGAAGGAGGGCGCCTGCTCGGAGCAGTCCTCCCGTATGACTGCCATGGACAACGCGTCCAAGAACGCCGGTGAGATGATTGACAAGCTGACCCTCACCTTCAACCGCACCCGACAGGCTGTCATCACTCGCGAGCTGATTGAAATCATCTCCGGTGCTGCCGCCCTCACATAAGCGAATGCTACTACTGTGAGATGATCGAACGGCTCCAACGATTCATAAAGCTAATTGCATATGGTGCCAGGCACCCGGAGCGACGCCTGGAGCCCTAGTAATGTTACACTTTCAAAAAAACCCCAGAATAAATAGCGTGGAACGAACGAAAATAACTCTAACCGCGGACTCTTTAACTTGAAGTGGGAGGAAAGGAATTGCAAAGGTCTGTTTTTGTTTTCACTAACCGAAGTTATTATTTGATATTTTACGAGTTACTTTTTAATATTTAAAAGTACTATATGAACATAATTCGAATCTGTTACTAAAAGTTTTCGATTGTGTCTGCCTCCCAATATAAATTTTAATGAATGTAGTTTGACCCACTTTTGTTTTGTATGGATAAATTGGAAACACTTAGAACAATAACTTTCCAACTCTCATTTATATAAATTTTAATTAAGAATCCTGCAGCTTTTTTGGATTATTTACGTATATTTTGACCGACATTCAAAAATTTCAGAAATTGGTATCTACACTTTGTGCTTATCTATGGAATTAAGGCATGGGATTTCATTGGGATGCTTTTACGTTGCCTAGCCTAGCACATGTTCTGGAGCACATTTAGTATGTAGGCTCCGATATCCTCGTCCTGGTTGGTCCAGGATATCAAAATGGTCTTCTGCTTGGGATCCTTCTCGTCCTCCTCCACCTTCACCTCCACGGACTCGATGGCTATGGAGCCGTTCTCTTGCATTGTCACCGTCCAGCCGGCCAGTTTTTCTTCGAGCAGAGTCTTGAGCCTTTCGCTGGTGCGGATCATGGGGCCAGGATCGTCCATCTTGACTTTGGACGTAAATCGCATCACATGCCGGTTGATTCCGATCTCCTTGAGGGCATCGGTCAGGTTTTGCAGCATTATTCGATTGTCCTTCATCACGAGGACGCCGTGAATAAGTCGCCTGCGCTTGGGATCCGGCGGTTGGGCATTATAGGAGCGGGCCTCGGCTTTTAGCAGGGAAACAGAGGCATCGACGGGGATTTTGACGGGAGTGGAGATCACACAGGTCTCTCCATTGGCCGGCATGTAGGTCTCCAGGTTGAATTCGTCCTTGATCTTTGAGCGCAGGAACTTCATCTTTTCGGCTTCGCCGTGGACGAGCATAACGTTCTTTGGCTCACAGTTCTGAATTAGCTGCATGATGCCTGGAGGAAAGAGGGTTATTTTTATCATATATCACTAATATAAAGCTGGTTCATTATTAGCTACCTTTGGCATCGGCATGGGCTGAAAAGCTCATGTACTCTACGGCCATCTTGACCTCCACCACCTGGCGGTTCTCGAACTCCACCTTCTTGGCGCCACCCAGGATCTTGTTGCCCACTGTGCCCTGCACGCAATAGCCTGGCATAATCACCATGTTGTTCTCGTTGGGTGCCCACTTCTTGAAGATCTGCAGGGAGAGACCCGCGTGCAGCATTCCCGGCGTGGCAAACACCACCATGGCTCCGGGATTGTCGATGTAGGCCTTATCAAACGGCTTTATGTGCTTAAAGTCGAACATGTTGCGGTGGACAAATGTCTTGCGGATCTTCTGATTCGTCCAGGTGATGAACATTTTGTAGTAGGTGTTGGCCTTCTCGGTGAGGCCGAGAGCAAAATAGATGGGGTACTTGAGGTTCATGCGCTCCCAGTAGGTCTCCAGCAGGATGCAAAGCTCCTGGGCGCGACCCAGGGCGAAGACGGGGATCAAAACCTTGCCGCCCTTGGCCACGCACTCGTGAACCTTCTTGAGGAAGTCCCTTTCGCGGCACCGCTTCGAGTCCCTGATGGTGGTGGCGTAGGTGCTCTCGGAGATCAGCAGATCTGGCCGGCACTTGTCTATCCAGGCTGCACCCAGATGCCTGTCCGGCGTCATGTTATAATCGCCCGTGTAGACAACGCTCTGGGAGCCCACCTTGATCCAGAACATGGCGGCACCCAAAACATGACCGGCGTAGTACGCCTTAATCTCCAGATCTGTGTCCACCATCATGCTCTGGTGGAGAGTGACGGGTATCACCTTCTTCATGCAGTCCTTGATCATCTGGGTGGTGAAGAAGTTGGACTCGCCCTTCCGCTCCACGGCCACCTTACGCATGTCCTCCAGCAGGATGGGCGCTATGGCCTTGGTCGGGTGCGTCATATAGATGGGTCCCGTATAGCCCACAATCTCGGACATGTAGGGCAAGGCGCCGCAGTGATCTGGAATGCACGCAATCGATAAAAAACACGATTAGACCCGGTCAACCCAAGACGAGATAAGGAGACTCTCACCCAGGTGGAAGTGCGAGATGATCACGCAGTCAATGTGGCTGGTGATCGGGCCCTCCGGCACAATGTAGGAGAAGTCGGGGAAGCGGCGCTCGTCGTTATAGCCCATATGCATTCCGCAGTCGAGCATTATGTTCTTGCCGCCCATCGAGAGCAGCAGGCAGCTGCGGCCCACATCCTGGCCGGCGCCCAGTGGCGTTATCTTTATGTCCGGCATTTTGGGATCGGTGTCCGGTTGACCTGGCTCCTTGCGCCTGCTTTAACGCGGCCACTTGTTGCGCAGTTAAATTGAAATTGCCGAAAAAGTCGACCGTGATTTTTGTAAACAGCAAGGGCTCAGGAGTGGCGTTGCCACTCTGCCGGTGAAGACGATCTGGCAACGCTGTGCCTCCTTTAGCGGTTCTTATTGGGGTGTTCCAAAAATAATATATTCACCTCAAAACATAAACTTTAGCAAGTTTACCGGATGAATCTTAATATCTTATGAGAAAGCGAATTTTATTTATCATTTCTTATGTTCATATTGTTTTTAAAAACTTAAACTTATTTATTTTAAAAATATCCTATAATTGTGTTTTGCAGAACACCCTCCGCAACATTTTGCCGCTCACAAAACGGTCATACTGAGCCGAAGGAAAATAAAAGATAGCGTCTTGTCTTATCAAATCACTGTTTTGTTTTCCGAAGGTCCATTTGCAACAGATCCAGGATGCCCGATTCCGTGGAGGACACCTCCACCATCTCGCTGCGGATCTGCCTGGAAGGACATGCAAATGCCCTGGCCTTGAACAAGGACAACAACCAGATAGCTTTGGCTGGAAGAAGCTGTAAGATTTGATGCGCCAAGGTCTTGCTATAAATACATCACATATGCTTCCCTTTCAGTGCTCAAGGTGTACTCCATAAACAGCAATGGCTTCACGGAATCGTGTAATATGCGCGGCAAGAACCAGAATCTTAGCTACTCTGCCAACGATGTGGCCTGGTCCACCTTGGATAGCAATCTCCTGGCCACGGCGGCCACAAACGGGGTGGTTTCCGTGTGGGATCTCTCCAAGTTTGGGAGGCAGAAGCAGCTTTTGGTCTATAACGAACATGAGCGCACCGCCCACACCGTGACCTTCCACAGCAGCGAACCCAATATCCTGATCTCCGGCTCACAAGATGGCACCATCAAGTGTTTTGATATCCGATCCGATAAGTCGGTTAATACCTACTTCTGCAACTCGGAATCGGTGAGGGATGTCAAGTTCAGTCCACACACACAGAACATCTTCTCCGCCGTCTCCGAGAATGGTACCGTCCAGCTGTGGGACATGAGGAAGTGGGACAAGTGCATGGTGCAGTTTACGGCGCACTATGGACCCGTCTACACCTGCGACTGGCACCCCACGAGGAACTGGTTGGCCACCGGCAGTCGGGACAAGCAGATCAAGGTGTGGAACATGGACGGCAGGCCGGGACTGGAGCACACCATCCACACGATCGCAGTCGTGGGAAGGGTCAAGTGGCGGCCTGAAAGAACGTGGGTCTTGCAAGGCTTTTTAATCACTTATCCGGTATTAATTGTTGTTTATCCCCCGAAGCTATCACATCGCTAGTTGCGCCCTGGTGGTGGACTACAGCGTCCATGTGTGGGACATCCGGCGGCCCTACATCCCCTTCGCCTCCTTTAACGAGCACACGAATGTAACCACGGGGATTGCGTGGCAGGGTAGTGATTCCCATTGCCTGCTGTCCATCAGTAAGGATTCCACCATCTACAAGCATGCTTTTAAAGATGCCACAAGGCCAGCGTTGAAAGCGAATGCCCAGGGAGCCAGCTGGGGCAGATTCGGTGACATCTCCTTTGCCAACAAGATCAAGGAGTATGCTCCAAAGACCAGTGGCGCCTCCAACACCAAGTCCACCAGCTTCATGTGTGTTTAGTTGAAATGTATCCCATTGCTAGCTTTAATGTATGGTCATTTTAGAAGTCGCCGGAAAACGAATGTGGCTGGCAGCATTCAGTTCCATTTGGATCATTCCAAGATGTACAAATTCATTGTTAACGAGACGGTTGGTTATATAATACTTCAGAAAGCCGGTACACATTTTAACATCTGATCATTCTTTCAGTTTTCTGGATCTCCCTTAAATGAATCTGTTTCGCGACCTACACAAGAACACGAGAGTTTCATTGGCTGTGCCAGGGAACTGATTATCAGTGGCAAGAAGCTGGCGGAGCTTTGCGAGCACAATGCAGAGGTCTCCAAGAAATATGGGAAACATAATGTGAGAACTGAAGATTATTACTATATCTCCCCTAAACATACTAATGGATTTTTTCCAGGCCACCACATTGTGGAACTTCATCAAGCTGTTCTACGGCAGCAATCATTTTGAGCCACCCTTCGAGCACAGGTCTTCTTTCTCGAATCAAAAGAATCCGATGAACTCCCGACGTGCCACCCAAGTAGCCAGTGATTGGCCACAGCAGCGGAGTGATCTCGGCCAGGATCTCAATGGAAATACACCGGAAACTGCGCACGAGATTGATGTTGCCAATGTGGATGATGATACCCTTGGTGGCAGTGGTGTGGAGAATCCGCCCACCAGTTCAGTGATTCTGTCCGAGACGCAAATCATCAGCGAGATTACCTTTGACAACTTTGAGCTGTTGCGCAATGGGTTTATTTACGTGGGTCCCACTGAATGCGCAAAAGCCCTGGCATTTCCTGCCCTTCATCACGATGTGCAGGCAGCTCGCCCACAATTGGATCTCAAGGCCTCCGATCACGAGAAGTCGCCTGTAAGTTGGGATTACTAAACTAGTTTATCGTTTATCTCATGTATTGATTGTTCTTTTAGCCACCACATGTTCCCACGGTCTTGAAAGTCAGTCATGTTCCGCCCATTCCCATGTGGGAACCACACAAATTCGTTTCCGATGCCCTCATGCTGATGAACGATGTGGGTGATGTGCAAACAGCTCTGACAGTCCTTATAGCGCTGGGGGAAGCTCGGAAACTATTGCCCATTGAGGATGCACTTGTGGTGAGTAAATATACTTAGCTCGGGGTAAAAACTGCATTAAACATATGGTCTTCCCCTATCAGGAGCACTGGTTCTACACCTATGTGGACCAACTGCATCGCTATGAGCTGTGGAACGAGGCCTGCGAGGTGATCAACCGCTCCTGGCTGAGATCGGTGCAGCAGCTCAACCAGCACTCGACATCTATGCACACGAATTGCGGGGAATGTGGACGCCCCATGGGCGGCAAGGTGGGATGGTATTGCGACAAGTGCAAGTCCATGCAGTCGGCCAAGTGTTGCGTCTGCGGCCTGATCGTCCGCGGCGTGTACGCCTGGTGCCAAGGATGCTCCCACGGCGGTCATATCGAGCACCTGCAGAAGTACTTCGCCAAGCACTCCAAGTGTCCCAAGTGCGGTCACCTCTGCGCATACTCATGAGACGCGGAGGAGGCTGGGTTCACCCAGCTTCTGCCTCCGATTTGAGTCCCTTGTAAATAGAGAAGACTTCGGCCCTATAAGTACCTTGCAAAAAACACTATAGAAACTCGAAGCCACTAGATACTCCTTCTATACAGAATCAGAGTCCTGGTATTTCGAGGTGCACACTAGCATTTTAGGATTAAAATTTGTGGAATAAAATCCTTTCCATACCTATACTTAAGAAATAGTTGAAGGTTTAGTCCAAACAAAATAACATCTCTATTTTTTAACAACACTTATGTCTCCCACAAATGTTTGTTTCTTAAATAATTTCAAATTGAATGCCAAATAAAAATGTTGTCTGTTGAAAATGAAATATTACAACAAATTTTATGTTTAAAAGACGATAATAGTTAAATTTGTAAACTTTCCATTCAATTTATTGCTATATTCTTCAGTGTTTTTTGTCAGATTCGGGTTGAGCTTGTAGATAAGTGTTATAAATAGTGTATTTATGCGAGTTTATCAAACTTATGGCTACTTGATGAAGGTGCTTTTAAAGGGTAATATAACAACTACCTTTTAAGTTGAGAGTTGAGCCGCACATTCAGTAGCAGAAAGGGGAGAAAAAGTTATAAAATTGAGAGTTCTGTAGGGATTAAAAACAGAGAGCAACATATGTTGCGGTTGTCTTTAACTAAATAACTAATTGTATGTCCTCGCGGGTGGGTGGAAAGCACATCATGCCCACAAGGACACCACCGCCTGCCAGCGCTGTCCAAAAAATCCATCATGCCCTCAGCGCAATGGAGTTTTGGCAATGCTTTTGCATTATATACTTTTCTGTTATAATCCAATTTTCTGTTCTTGTTTTGCATTGCGCTTTGCGCATTTGTAACTTTGAGATGGGTTGCGTACCCACTCAAAGCTTGGACTTTGGAGCAGCGTTGGCGGCTAATTGTCAAGAGGCAAAATCGAGGCTCACAGTTTGGCAGGAGTCGCCCACTGTTCCACTGGAGCCGGCTGAGGTGGCATTCCGCTTCAGCGCTGGCCCCTCATCATAGCGAATCGTCATGGAGTTGGAGTTTCCGGGAATGGCCACATAGCCCAGCGACTCGTAGAACTTGATCAGCTTGTCCTTGCAGTCCAGCGACATTTTGTAGCAGCCCAGTTCCTCGGCCAGCAGCGATACGGTGACCACGATCCTGGAGGATATAGCTTAGGATTAGTGTTTCCTGGCAATATAGTGTGCTGCTTACAGTTTGCCCAGTTGCTTGCCGCGATAGGTGTCATTTACCACCACATCTTCCAGGCGACCACGCTGAAAGGATAAAATAAATACATAGGTAGGTCATATGTTCTTTATAAATCAATGGATGCTTCTTAAATTCTAACTATCTTCTTACCACGGCACAATTGTGGATGAACTTGCGCTCGATCACCAGAGATGCAGCTCCAATAATCTCGTTTTTCCGAGTGTCCTCGATGACGGTGACAAAGTAATCTCCACTGGCTTTCATCTGTGAAAAACGGGCTAAAAAAGAACGTGGTTATGAGTGTATCCAAAGAACTAAGTTAATATTCAGAACTTACTCAAAAACTGCGTGCGGTTCACATTGCCCACGTGGGTGAGTTGGGACAGCAGCTGCAGGAATCCACGATCGTAGTCCGTGTCCTTGAGAGGACGCACTTTCATCCAGGGCTCTCCAGGATTAGCCGCTGATATGAAGGGATTGAACTTGGCGGGACTGCGATGAAAGTCCAGCTTTAACAGCAGATTGGGATCATACAGATACGTCTCCTCCTGTAAGAGATTATGGAATTTTGGATAAGGGTGCGGTAAAATTTTTAAAAACTATAATCAGCACTATAATAGTGAAAGGTTAAGATCATTAAAGGGGTAAATCCATACTTTCTTGTTATTAAATTAAGAAATATTTGTACATAGGTATATATATTCAATAATAGGCATTATAAGATGTGATAGATTAGACATGTTTTCTACAGACATAGTTTTAGTGATTGCGACTTCAAAGATACTAAAGTGTCTACGAGTATTGCATTTTAAACTATTATATGGAATCACTGTGTAAATATAGATTTTCTGTGAGATTTTATAGATTAGAAATGCTTTCTACTACCGTAAGTTGCACCATTTTCGCAGTGGACTTCACACGTCAGCAAGTGACGCCGGTGGAGGCAAAACTGAAGGTAAAACTCAGTCAACAGGTAAAAAGGTGGAGTCGCGATAACAGGAATGGTATCAAGAACGGGTTTCTTGCACCCAAACCAAGCACTTTTGATTCGTTGGGGCCAACTGGTTTTGTCTCATTTAATATCATTTATTTTCTGTTTTTGGCGCATAAATTAAGTACTACGATGGTAAACCGGTAAAGTGCGTAAGACCGACGACTAGTATTGATTTAGTTTGTTGTGGTTACAGTCAAGATTAAAATAAATAACGTGTGTTCTCAAGGTCGGTGACTGAACTGCCACATGGTCACGTTTTTTCTATCATTTTTCTTTAGCAGTGTTTTTTTTTTTTGTTTTTCCTATTTAAAAACTACTTACCATGATTATATCTAATGTCTGATAATGACAGCGAAACACCAGCTAGCACTCTATCTTCCGCAACAAATCCAAAAAACAGAAGCGGATGTTTTTCCGGCCACTTTTATCGGTCGAAGTTTCGGAGCAGACTGAGCGAAAAACACAAGCCGCACAATTCACAGAAAGCCGAGCGCTAATTGGCAATCGTGGAGAGGCTCAAAAACCTCTAGAAAAGGTATAAAAACTGCAATCTCAGCGCTAAAATGACCCTGAAGATTCGACGATGTGAATGTAAACATTTAAACAGCTGATTGCTAAGAGAAATGCACTGCATGGAAAGATAGGAAGAGAGCAAGACAACAGCTGACGTACAGTAGTCACTGACTATAGGAACATTGAAAATGCCTTCCTTTTTTTATATTTAAGGTTTCAAATAAAGTTGATAGGCACAAAATATATCATAGCAATTAACACTAAAGATATAATACGTTACATTATATAAAGGTATTTTAAGAACATAATTTATTTGTAAGTTTTTATTTTATCCCACCTTTAAAAATACAAGTAGCTACTTTACAAGAACTGTAGATGGAAAGCTTGAATTCTAAACATTTCATTATAAAATGAGACCTTATCATAAATGATCATAATTCTTTGAATAAAAACACGTTTCATCTTTCTTAGTTAACCAATCTTTACTGTGTTTCGTACGATTTCTACAATTAAATAACACTGCCTTAACGTAAGCGTTACGTTACGTGGCCACAATGTACTTGGGAGTCTGGTACATCTCGTAAGCGAATTCCTCGCGATGACTGGGATCGTACTCCAGACCTACATAGTCGATTTCCAGGCCAAATGGACCGTCCATTCCCTTCTTGGCAGCCACGGAGAATCCAAAGTGGGTGACCCTGTTCAGCGGTATGGCTCCCTGACGATCCTGGACACGTCCCTTCGAGGAGAGAAAGAACTTGGAGAAGGGAATCTTGGCTATCTGCCAGTGGGGACCGCCGCGGGTGTACAAGACATAGTGATAGATGTCGTTCCACATCAGATCAAAGTACCCCTCGGTGTGCAGATTGATTAGGTAGCTGCGTCCATCGCCGCGAACCTTCATGATCAGCATGTTGTACTGCGTCCAGTCGTAGGTGGACTCCCGCTTGAAGGATTTCTGGGGAAAAAAAGTATAACTTCATTATAGTCGGGTATAATCATTGAAGGATCCATTATAAACATACTCGAACTCTCTTCGTGCGAATATTAGCATAGCCCGTCCGCTTAATAATCCCATCCTTGGTGTGATCCGAGTTGACCTCGCCGTGGAAGAGTCCTGCTCCGGCTGCACTTAGCTCCAAGGTGGCACTACTCTTGCCCTCGCCGTGATCCGCATCCGTGGTCACTGTCCACTTATCCAGCACATCGGGCGCCTTGAAATCGAACACCACATCCGTTTCGCCCGGCCGGAAGACGAGGATGGGGTCACTCTCCAGCTGCTCCTTGACCTCCTGGCGCCACAGCTTCATCTCCTCCTTGAGATCCCTCAATCCGTCCAAGATGAGCTGCTTTGTAGAGGGCTCCGGCAGTTTGGTCTTGTAGCCGGACTTCTTTTCCCGCTCCCAGAAGGTCCTGTGCACTGCGGTGGTGTGGATTTGCTGCTGGATAGCCGGCAGGCAGCAGCCCAGCCGATGGCCTTGTCGCAGGAGGCTGTTCATCGCGGCATTTGGTTAATCTTAATACAATTTATTTACACCAAGTTTCTCGGCAACAAAACAACGTAACAACACTCAGCTGTTCTGCAGTTGCCATTCACAGAGAAGAGCTCTCATATTATGGTACAGTAAGTAATCGAAAAATGCTACAATTGATCAGACTCTGTATATAATTGATGGTTAAAAGATAAAACTCAAATTTTTAGAATCATGCAATTATTTACTGGTTTCTTTTTTATTTTTGTAACCTATATTTGCTTTTGTTTTTCCCTTATAGTTAAGCCCTACTGTACTAAATTCCCAGTGAATGGCAATTCCGGTTTTGTTTTCATTCCCATCATTTTGCATTTGGCTTGGAGTTCAAAGGTTTAAATCGCTTCCGATTGGATTGATAAAATGAAAGTGCAGGACCTGGACAAATGTGCTCCCAGCAGCGACTGGAACGTCCTCTATTGGGTGCTGGGTACGATCCTGATGCCGGTGGCCCTTCCACTGGCCCTCTTTAACATTTGGCAACGATTCCGCGCCCAAAAGTTCCGCAATCAATTGCCCGGAAAGGTAATTGATAAACCCTAATTACTGACTAGCCGCTTAATTATGTAAACGATTTTCAGGTTGTGCTAGTTACGGGCGCCAGTTCGGGATTGGGTGAATCCCTGGCCCACGTCTTCTACCGAGCCGGATGCAGGGTAATCCTGGCGGCACGTCGAACTCAGGAGTTGGAGCGGGTCAAGAAGGACCTCCTCGCTCTGGATGTGGTAAGATGAGCTTTGTATATTCCACTTGTTTTAATTAAACTAAGTTTAATGATTGTATTCCGGTATGCATCACTCTACTTCCTAATTGTAATCATATTTTATTAATTAAATTAAATAACTTAATTTAAACCAATCCAATAATCCTTCCAGGACCCCGCTTATCCACCCACCGTGCTGGCCCTTGATCTGGCTGAGTTGAATTCCATTCCAGAGTTTGTCACCAACGTGTTGGCCGTGTATAACCAGGTGGATATACTCATCAACAATGGAGGGATCAGTGTCAGAGCGGATGTGGCATCCACAGCTGTAGATGTGGATCTCAAGGTCATGGTGGTCAACTATTTTGGAAGTGTGGCCTTAACTAAAGGTGAGAAACGGAAGAATTTTCACAAAAAGATTGTAAAATTCTTTATCACAACCTGCAGCTCTTCTTCCTTCGATGGTGAAACGTGGTAGTGGTCACATCTGCTTCATTAGCTCTGTCCAGGGAAAATTCGCCATTCCCCAGAGGGCCGCCTATTCCGCATCGAAACACGCCATGCAGGCCTTTGCCGATTCCCTGCGAGCCGAAGTGGCCAACAAGAACATAAATGTGTCCTGTGTGAGTCCAGGATATATACGCACTCAGCTCTCCCTAAATGCTCTTACAGGATCGGGAAGCAGCTATGGCAGTAAGTTGACCATAAATTAACACCAACCTAAGTTAATACATTTTTACCCCTAGAAATGGACGATACCACGGCCAAGGGCATGTCGCCGGATAAATTAGCAGACCGCATTCTCCAGTGTATTCTCCGCAAGGAACCCGATATTATTGTCAGCGATCTTCAGGCCAAGATTGCCTATTACCTCCGTCATCTCTGCCCAAGCCTCTACTTCTGGATCATGGCCAAGCGAGCCCTGAAACTGGAGAAAGCTGAGAAAAAGACCACTTAAGTCTAGCACATCATGTCAAGTCGAACGTCCTTAAGTATTAGTTTCATTTTTATTGTTAATTGAATTTCGCTTAAAATGAGGAAATTATAATGTATCGCATATGTGTGTGTTTGTTCGGGTTAAAAATTAGTTACACTCGTGTGTTACTGCCTAACGATAAGATTAATAAATAAAGTATTGTAGTAATCGTAACATAAAGTACAACGGAATTGTCACACATGTGCTTGTTTGTTCGCTAATCATAGTACATACATTAATTATTGTTTTGAATTGTCATTTAAAATATTAAATCGTAAAATGCTAGTACTCACTTCTTTGCTCTTCGGTTTTTGTTTTGTTCGTTTCGTTTTGTTTCACTTTCGATTTCTTTAAGACATTTACGCGTTCCTAATTGACAAAATTACATATGCATTCATTTAGGTTGCTGGATAGGTAGTGATGCGGTCTTGGACAACATTTAAAACTGGCCATTAACTAGGGGGCTGACGATGGTTTCGTGGGGGATCGGGAGACGTACATACGTGTTTATAATTCATTTAGCTAAATTATAAAAATAGCGTTAATCCATCTCGTGAAAAGTATACAAAAAATTAATTACAATTGAGGTACACAATACACATACAGATTTAAAAATCGTTTGCAGTTTTACAATTACATTAATATTATATGTATATTTTAGATTAAAATCAATCGGTTTCTTATGTACATTACACAAAAATTGTTCATTTCGCGCTAAATAGTCTTTTTGTCACGCTCAAAATACTCTCGTCCATTCCGCTTAGACAATAATCATTTGCATTTAATTATATACAGTACACAATCATTGGCAATATTCAAAATGTTCTTCCGTTCTCAACTCATTAATTACACTGGGTAATAAAATTTGACCTTTGGAAATACACAGGATGGGAGTAGATAATCCTAGAATACACTGTTTTCCAATTTGAGCTCAAGTATCTGAAAAATCTTGTCTAGAATTAGCATGTTCTTATTAAAACCTATAAGGAATATGTATTCCCACTCCAGTGTATTTTTTTGTGTTTCCTAGTGTTAGCTTTTTTTTTTGGTAAATTTCAACACCTTTGCCTGCCATTATTCTGTATAGTTTCATATTGAAATATGTAATCAAGACAAAGTAGAAACTAAACTTCAATTCGGTTTTCGGGCTTACCATTATTTTTGTTATTTTTTTAAGCATTTCAAAGCGATTGTCGCGTACTCGTTTTAATTATTTCCGTTTCCGTTTCTTTACTGGCCAACGCGTTAACTGTCTGTCTGTCTATATACGATATCTTGGGTCGGGTGTCGGTTTCTTGAGCTGAGCTTCTGTCTTCTATCTTGTAACTGTATCTGTATCTTGTATATTCCACAAAAATATACCCAAATGCTCGTAAAGTTGCAATGGCTATTGCACGCCCCATATGGATGTATGTATATATTTTTTTGATACGCCTTTGATTTTTCCTACACATTCATATAGCTACAAATATCAATTGTTATGCTTAGCCTAAAGATCGATAGTGTGGTGTAGTGTAACTCGAAAGCCGCTGCTCTGTGATTCGAACCGGAATGTGACTCTATATCCTATATGTGAATGCATATCGTTAGGTGTCTTATTGTTTGTTCTCATTGCTCTAACTTGGTATTGCATATAAAAACTATGTCCCTTCGATGTCCTATGTACACTACAAGCATTTCTTCTACGGGCGTTACTATGGGATCGATGCGTGTGTTTACAGGTGCCGGTGCTCGAGGGGATCGGGTGGATTAATGTTAATGTTCGGGTGGCTAACTCTCTATGTGGCTTTGCTGGGCATTCTCTAGAACCTACTTTCGATGCATGACGCTTTTGATTTATTGACAGTATCGTTGGTTATCTTTGTATCTATTCCGTACAACTA